TGCCCAGCTATTTTTTAGAGACGAGGTCTCGCTTTGGCTCAGGCTGGTCTTGAACCTGTCAGCTCAGGCTATCTACCCTCTTCAGCCTCCCAAGTAGCTGGGACTACAGGCGCCCGCCACAATGCCTGGCCATTTTTTGGTTGCAGCCATCATTGTTGTTTGGTGGGCCTGGGCTGGGGATTCGAACCCGCCACCTTAGGTGTATGTGGCTGGCGCCTTAGCTGCTTGAGCCACAGGCACCAAGCCTTCCTTCTTTCCTTTTTTTTGAGACAAAAGTCTCACTATGTCGCTCTCAGTTGAATGCTGTGAACTCACAGCAAACTCAAACTCTTGGGCTTAAGCCATTCTCTTGCCCCAGCCTCCCAAGTAGCTGGGACTACAGCGCTTGCCACAGGGCCCAGCTATTTTTGTTGTTGTTGTAGTTGTCATTGTTGTTTGGCAGGCCTGGGCCCTGTTTGAACCCGCCAGCCCAGGTGTATGTGGCTGGTGCCCTAGTCTCTGAGCTACAGGCACCCAGCCTCTTGTCCCGTTTCTATCCTCTCCCCTACCTAATCTCAGACCCCAGTGGCTTGTGCTGCACCTGCCCTAGCCCACAAACATTGTCAAACCCATCAGACTTTGTCCCCCTCATGTGATTGGACTGATGGCTTCCCCTGACACTGCTGACCACTTCATTCTCTCCCCTCTGGGCCTGCTACACTGGCCTAGGTTTCCTTCCACAGTCTCCTTTCCAGGCCTACAGCCTCCTCTGTTTTCTCTTTTCATGTGGCCTGTACCCGGTTTCCTGTTTTCAGACACCCAGTCTCAGGGGTAACACTATGAGAAGCACAGATGTGATGCCCACCCCTGCTGTCATATTCAGATGTCTGACATGTCTCCTCTGACATTAACGGGCAACCCCTTCAAATCCCCACACCAGCTTCCCCCAACCTCGGGCCTCCTCAGTTTCTTCCATGTTAAAGTGTGGCACACCCACTCCCAAAGTGCCCCATTTCCTGTCCTCACTGTGCTACGTTCCGCCCCTCTAGTCTGGGGCTCTGCAGGCCGCTTCACCAGCGTGGTGTCTGGAACCCGGGTGGCCGCTCCGCGCTGCAGCTCCTCGGGCTGCACCGGGCTGATGGTGACGAAATCCCGGGGCCGTGGACCAAGCAGCTGCTCACGGGCAGAGGCCGGGCCGGGACCCGGGGCCGCAGCTAGCTTGAGGCGCAACATGCGTAGGAAGCGGCGCAGGCGGTCTGGGGGGCAGTCAGAGAGCAGTAGCTGCACCGCGCCGGCCCTGGCAGCGCCGTGGGCTGGGAGCCTCAGGGTGCTGCGCCCGGCCGCCGCGAAACGCGTGAAGAGGCGCGCGGCGCGCAAGGGGAAGCAGCGCGGCCGCTCCGCTGGCCCAGGCGCCTGCAGCCGCAGCATCAGCTCGCGGCGCTCGTTACGACCCAGGCTTAGCGCCGCAGTGCGCAGGGCCTGGCGCCTTCGCGGCTGTCCACCTGGGCTCAACTCCTCCACAGCCACACGGCACCGCAGCTCCGCGTCCTCGCATTCCGCGGCTGTCATTTCAGTGCCCAAGAGCATCGTCACCTTCTTGGCAGTTCTGTGAAAAGACCCCAGGGGTCACGAGCATGCAGGGGACATACTGGGTGGTATCAAGGCCACAACCGGTAGCCGGGTCAAGGCCACTTAGGATCGTTGTGGCTGTCACTGTTACTAATAACACAAGGAAGTCATAGAGACCCTAAGGTTAACCGAAAATCCACTCTTAGCATGATGTACCCTGCTACACATTTCTGGAGTGGAGGATGGGCACCCAGGTTCGGGGAGTTTCGGTTGTTCTGCAAGGGTGGGACTCATTAGAAAGGAGTCCCTGAGCAAAAAAGAAGCCTGCTTCCAGGCTAGCAGAGGAATCCTCAGTGTTCTTTCTCCAGGAAGCAGAAGACAAGTAATAAGCGCCTTCTTGTCTCCCAGGTACGTTCGCCGGTTTATATGCTGCCATGCAGGTCTCACTATTCTCTGTGTACAGAAATGGAAATAGTCCAAGAGAGGCAAACTCACTTGCCCTTCATAAGCCACACCGGCTAGAGGGGTCAGAACTAGTGTTGATTCCTATGCCCTGACACTTTCCACCTTTAGGGTGGGGATGGAGTGGAAAATATTTGGCTAGAGAAATTGAGGAAGGACTCTGGAGTACATGGATCCAGTGCTCCCTCAGTCTGACCCACTCCTCTGCACCCCCAACTGAGATCCCTGGAAATATCAGGGGTTCGGAGAGAAACTCACTTTTGCCGAGACTGGGGTGAACAAGCTGATCAGAGCCGGCTTCCTGGCGAAGGTACCAAACTGAGAAGTTTCAAATGCTGGGGCTAGAAAATCACCCAATCATAGGCTGGATCTTTAAATTCTCCAGCCAATTAGAGGCAGGGGGCGTGGTAATAGGCGAGTCTTTGGTCAACTAAAGACGCACTTCGGGTTTGGGCTGTACCAATCGCACACCAGAAGAAGGAGGTTTATTGTGGACCCGGAGCATACCAAATCGAGTGAATTAGTGGGACTGGTGAGAGGAGGCTGGGACTGCAGCTGACCAGTGTGTGGTGTAGTGTCAACTAATGCGGCAATGAAGATTTATTTTCAGAATTATCCTTCCATCACACTCCCTCTCCCCCTCTAACCTGCACTTAGCGGCTAGACTTAGCCTGGAGGAAAAGCTATCTCTGATCTCTCACACCCCTGTTTCCATTCACAGTTACATCTTCCACTCTTGGACAGACTGTGCTAAGGCCTGCCCACGCAGGTGCACCTGCCCCCACAACTATTTCCCCTTCTTTGCATTTGTAAGGGGCATTTTACACGTTTGTCTTTCCCACCCTCCTTAAGGCCCAAAAGTGAAGAACTAAGACACATGAGTACCTATATCCAGGGAATTATTATTATTTTGGAGACAGTCTCACTTTGTCACCCTTGGTAGAGTGCTGTGGTGTCATAGCACACAGCAACTTCAAACTCTTGGGCTCTCAGCCTCCCCAAGTAACTGGGACTACAGGTGCCTGCCACAATACCTGGTTATTTTTTAGAGGAGAGGTCTCACTCTGGGGTTCAGGCTGGTCTGGAACCTGTGAGGCAATCCACCTACCTTAGCCTCTCAGAGTGCTACCATGTTTCCCTGAAAATAAGACACTGTCTTATATTTATTTTTTCTCAAGAAGACATTCTAGGGCTAATTTTCAGGGGATGTCTTATTTTATTTTATTTTATTTTTTTTTGAGACAGAGCCTCAAGCTATCCCCCTGGGCAGAGTGCCGTGGCATCACAGCTCACAGCAACCTCCAACTCCTGGGCTCAAGCGAGTCTCCTGCCTCCGCCTCCCAAGTAGCTGGGACCACAGGCGCC